AGAAGGCAGAAGTTAGGGAGAAAGAGGGAGGGAAGGAAGGGAGGGAAGAGGGAAAGAAAGAAGGAAGGATAGGATGGTGAGAGAGAGGGGGCCTGAGAAAAGAGCCCATGTTCCCTCCCTACCTTCTCTTCTCCCAACTAAATATCCCCCAGGAGGAAAGAAGGAAGAAAGGAAGGAAAAGAAGGAAGGAAGGAAGGAAAGAAGGAAAGGTGGGAGGGGCAGAAGGGAAGGAAGAGAGAGAGGAAAGACAAAGGGAAGGAAGGAAGGAGAGGGGGAAGGAGACAAAAGAGGGAAGGAAGGATGAAAGGGTAGAAAAGAAGGCAGGAGGAAGGGAGAAAGAGGAAGGCAAGGGAGGGAGGGAGGGAGGGAGGGAGGGAGGGAGGGAGGGAAGAAAGAAAGAAAGAAGGAAGGATAGGATGGTGAGAGAGAGAGGAGGGACTGAGAAAAGAGCCCAAGGGGCTGCATCCGGCCCCTGCACTTGGGTTTGCCCATACCTGTATTAGATCCTTGTTATCTTGAACACTTGCCCTTATTCACATCTTTCACCCATTATCTTTCTTGCTGTAACCGATAAACATTGTTACTTTTGGGGAGAAATGTGTGTGTTAAGAAGTGGATGGAGGCTGGGAAGAAGGCATCTTTAGAAACACAAATGCCAAGCAGCATTCCAGCTGTCTGAGAGATTAGTTTAATGAGAAGGGAAAAAGTCGCGGTAGGTGCCAAGCAAAGAAGATGAAAGCAAACCATGGTACAAAAATCCCATACTCAACTGAGCAAAGGGGAGTGGGGAGAAACATTTCCAGTAATAATTAACCCAGATACATTGAATGAGCTACCCATAGACTTGATCTGGTTATTTCTAGCAGGATCTACTTCAACGGGTTTTCTCTTTGGTCATTTTCAGTCTGTTTCTCAGATTTGTAAATCATACAGTTTAAGAAAGATTGCTTGCCCTGGGTTCAGCATGCATCCACAGGAAGAGAGAAAGAAAAGACAGAGTTAATATTTCAAGAATGGTTTCCCCAATCTTGTTAAATTATAGAGCACTGGTCTCAAATACAAAGGGATATTATTGTGGAGATACTATGGTTCCCAACCTGAATCCAATGAGGCTGATGGATTACAATTTCAATCATCCTCAGTGAGAACAAATGCGGAAGATGGAAGCTATTTTCCATTATCATTAGGGAACCTTTATGGGACTTGCGTGAAGGGCTCTGGACAAGAACAATTGAAAGGTTTATTGTTAATAGACTCCGGCAACATCTGGACACTGTAACATTCCCTTCTGCAGTGTTCAATCAGGAAAATGAGTCTACAGCTTCATTCAGTCTGCAAAATAGGCACCTGTCCTGGAAATACATACAGTTTCATTGCACTTTCATTGATAATTTGCATGTCAAGGAAGGACAAACACAATTTGGTGACACTCTCATCAGAAAACTCAAAGCACTCAGGGCCCATCCATACATTACCTTTATCCCAGGAGCAAACAGCAAACAGGAGGGTGGCCAAATGCCGCTCCTTGTAAATGTAGAAGCAATCGCTACAAACAGCAAAAAACGCGAGCTTTTCATGTACAGGAATATCCCGGTTCTTAGCTAAAAATCCGCACCTGCAAATGTCTGGACTCGGAAATCATGGATTTTTTAATCTGGGTTTGTTCCTGGGTTTTAGATCTTTGTTCCTGATTGGTTGGTTCCCAAAAAGAAGATGACCATTGAGTGGAACACGAAAAGTTTGTTTGTGTGCCAGAAACTTCATGAAACATGTGGAGGGCACATTTTCTCTGACCAGGACAAAGTTGTGGCCCCTTAGTCAACGTTGTACAACTTTTCATGATAAGAGCAATCAGGAAAAGACATATATAAGCCAGGAACAATACACTGTTTGCACAGTTTGTATAACCCAGGAACGGAACTCATACAATTATTCGCATCTTCACATCTCTTAAGTTTTTTTAATATAAAAAACCAATGAAATTTCTGGTGGAAGTCCCATGGTGGCCATCTTGGGAGCCTCTAAATCCCACAATGAAGCAGCAAGTGTGGACGACTGAGGCAGAAATCCCGGGACCAAGAAGTCTGTATCTGGACATCTTCTAAGGCCCCAGATTTTTTTTCCCTGACTAAAGTGTGCAATTTAGTGCTGTCTAGAAATGGCCTCTGTTGTTTTTCCACAAACAAAAGGCTTGTTGCAAAGACAGGGAGAGAAAGTAATGTGTTTGAGGCTGTAAGTGAATTTCTGATAATGAAAAACCCGAAAGTGCCCTTTTAAAAAAGGATTTCAGTAATCTGAACTAGTGAAAACAAAAATAAAGAACTCTGGAAAATAATTTTTGGGACTTTCATTTCAAGTATCCCAGAGACAGCAACTGATATTATTATTATTATTATTATTATTATTATTATTATTATTATTATCATCATTATTTATACCCTGCCTTTTTCCCTGTGGGGACTCAAAGCAGTTAACAATCCCACACTTTAGTCAAATTATAAAGCACAACTTTTAAATTTGCAAACTCTATTAAAAAGTTATAAAAACTAGGAATTCCAAGCTAATTACTTGTTGTTGTTTCCCGTAAATGTTTAACTCAGGATGATGAAATGGGTGGAGGCAATTTCAGACAAAATGGTGTATTGCCTGGGGCACACAGCCCAGACGGATAAATCAATTTCACAGGTAAATGTGGTATGCATTGGTGCACACATAGCTCACAGAGCTGTGGACCATGGAAACTCAGCAACAGGACTCATGGATCAGATAATGGGAAAGACCTCTGTCCGATACTCAACACATCATACAAACAGCCCTACTACTTGGAACATAAAATATACATTGGACCTCTGGATGTTGTTGAACTGTACCGCCTTGCAATTGTAGCCAACAGGTGAGGAATGTTCAGTAGCAGCCCAATATCTGGAGCTTCCTAAGATCTACAGAGATACTCATAGGAACACCTCAGCAAGTGAAAGTCCAAAAGTGGCAGGTGAAAACCCAGAACCTCAATCAGTGGCTGATACCAGATGAGAAACTCCCTCCTGGGCACACAGAAGACTGGCTGATTTGGAAGGCATTGAACAGGCTGTGCTCTGGCACCACAAAATGCAGCGCCAACTTAAAGAAATGGGGCCACAAAGTGGAGTCCATGACATGCGAGTGCAGAGAGAGCAAACCACAGATCACCTATTACAATGCAACCTGAGCCCCACCACATGCACAATGGAGGACCTTCTCACAGCGACACCAGAGGCACTCCAAGGGATCAGCTTCTGGTCAAAGGACATTTAGCATAATGCCAAGTTTTTAACTTTGTGTTTTAAAAGACATTATAACAGCACCCTCAATTCACTTCTAACATGATAAAAACATCTGGAGGTCCTGATGATTCCCATTCTTGTTGGGAATCATCAGGGATAGCCATGGTTTCCATGCAGCCCTTGGGACCTCCAAGTGTTATCAAAAAGTTGGACCCTTCTCCCAAAAGCTGGACTTCACATGAATTCCAGGATGCCTCCCATAGATGCAGGCAAAACGTCAGGAGAGAATGCTTCTGGAACATGGCCATACAGCCCAAGAAACTTACAACAATCCAGAGATGAACTCACCTTTTATAAACAGATCACCTCAGAGGTCAGACCAAGCAGAATCAAATGTGACTATTACTTCCCTTGATCTAAACACTACCTTTCTATTCATGCAACCTAGACTGGAATTGGGTTTTCAGCTGTTGACTCAGGTTCAGCTAATAGTCTACCAAAACTTCCTTTGACATTGTCACCCATCCTATATCTGTGCATTTAATTTTTATTGTCCAAGTATCATCCATACATTTTTCCCTGTTGAGATTCATTTTGTTAGTTTGGCCAAGCTATTCAAGATCATTGTGAATTCTGGTGCTGTCCTCTGGGGCATTAGCTACCCTTTCTAAGTTGGTATCATATGCAAAATGACAAATACACTCTCTATTCCATCATTTGTGTTGTGTGAAGTACTTCTCTGCCTAAAAGCTCCAAGACGGTGGTTCTCAACCTTCCTAATGCTCCTTAACAGTTCCTCATATTGTGGTGACCCCCAACCACAACGCTATTTTCATCACTTCTTTCATAACTGTGATTTTGCTACTGTTATGAATAATCAATATCTGATATGCAGGATGGATTTTCATCCACTGGAACAAATTTGGCACGAATACCCGATATGCTCAAATCTGAATACTGGTGGGGTTGGGGGGGATATTGATTTTGTCATTTGGGAGTTGTAGTTGCTGAGATTTATAGTTAACCTGCAATCAATGAGCATTCTGAACTCCACCAACGATGGAATTCCACCAAACTTGGTACACACAGAACTTCCATGACCAAGTTCTGGAAATACTGGGAGAGTTTGGTGGGCATTGAGTTTTGGAGTTGTAGTTCACCTACATCCAGAGAGCACCGTGGACTCAAACTATGATGGATCTGGACAAAACTTGGCACAAATACTCAATATGCCCAAATGAGAACACTGATGGAGTTTGGGGAAAATAGACCTTGACATTTGGGAGTTATAGTTGCTGGGATTTATAGTTCACCTACAACCCAAGAGCATTCTGAATCCTACCAATGATAGAATTGGGCCAAACTTCCCACAAAGAACCCCAATGACCAACAGAAAATACTGTGTTTTCTGATGGTCTTTGGTGACACCTCTGACATCCCCTCACAACCCTAGGCGTCCTGATCCCCAGGTTGAGAAACACTAAGACCTCACCAAACCAAAAATCTATAGATTGTAGCTATGATAGTAAAAACAATAACAAAGGGTTTGACTGAGAAGTGCATGAAAGAGACTTGAGATGCCGGTTTGAGCCTCACCAGCTCAGACAAAGAACAGGTGTTGCCCACAGCAAGCCTTCCCTTGGGCCTGAAAGCGTCTGGCTCTTCTCTCTTAACCTTGCAGCCCAGCTGTTTTCCTGCATCGCAAAACTAAGCACTCCCATAGCAGAGCTTGCATACCTGCATAAAGTGGTAGGGTAGATGCCAAGCCAAAATAATTCAAGCTTGTTGGAGCAATGACACAACTCTGCACATTTCCTTCAGGATTCTTCCCCCAGACCTTGAGGCACCTTTCTTGCCAAAGCCCTCTTTCCTCCAGGATTCTGCCCGACGGGTGAAGAATCGCATTGGCAGGTCAGATGTAGATGCTTTTCCAAGGCAGCCTCGGGCGAGACAGTTCACCCTCCAAAATGTCTGTAAAACAAGGTTTGCAACACTGACAGCTGTCACAGGAGGCCTTGTTGAAATCGATGTTCGTGCCTGGCTCCGAACGCACCGAGAGAGAGCTGCGGAGCATTAATGTGCAGGCGCCCTCCTTCGTGAGAACGGTGATGTAATCAGCTTTCTTATAACCTGGGCTGCATGTCCCAAGGGACACCAGCAAAGATTTATTTAAGAGGATTGGATCACTTGCTTTGCTTTTATCCCCAAAAGGCCAAGCGGAAACCAAATTATGCAGCTTAACATTAGCAAAACAAAGTTAGATAGTTTAAATCGGTCGGCTAGAAATCTGGTTAATGTCAGGCTCATCTGCTATTATTTTTGCCTATTCACAGTGTCCTGGATGCTGACAGAATTAGGACATTTCCAAATCAGAAGAAAAGAGAACTTTTTGAGGGGTCAGTCACATATCAATCTGACTCTTGAGTCAAGATTATAGTTTCATTTACCCATGCCTGAAAAAAAGTCCTTTCTAGATATTTTATAGAACCTCTAGGCAATTCTATGTCAACTTCTACAGCCAGAAACTAATATAGTTGCTCTAGAGCAGTGGTTCTCAACCTTCCTAATGCCGCGACCCCTTAATGCAGTTCCTCATGTTGTGGTGACCCACAACCATAGAATCGTTTTCATTGCTACTTCATAACTGTAATTTTGCAACTGTTATGAATTGTAATGTAAATATCTGATATGCAGGATGTATTTTTCATTCGGTGGACCAAATTTGGCACAAATACCCAATACACCCAAATTTGATGGGTGGGGGATTGATTTTGTCATTTGGGAGCTGTAGTTGCTGGGATTTATAGTTCACCTACAATCAAAGAAGGGCCCCCGGTGGCACAGTGGGTTAAAGCACTGAGCTGCTGAGCTTGTTGACCAAAAGGTTGCAGGTACGATTCCAGGGAGCGGCGTGAGCTTCCTCTGTCAGCCCTAGCTTCTGCCAACCTAGCAGTTCGAAAACATGCAAATGTGAGTAGATCAATAGGTACCGCTCCGGCGGGAAGGTAACAGCGCTCCATGCGGTAATGCTGGCCACATGACCTTGGAGGTGTCTATGGACAACGCTGGCTCTTCAGCTTAGAAATGGAGATGAGCACCACACCCCAGAGTCAGACATGACTGGACTCAATGTCAGGGGACAACCTTTACTTTACCTACAATCAAAGAGCATTCTGAACTCTACCAGCAATGGAATTGAACCAAACTCAGCACAAAGAACTCCCATGAGCAACAGAAAATAATGTAAGGGTTTGGTGGGCATTGACCTTGAGTTTTAGAGTTGTAGTTCACCTCCATCCAGAGAGCACTGTGGACTCAAACAATGATGGATCTGGACCAAACTTGGCACAAATACTCAATATGTCCAAATGTGAACACTAGTGGAGTTTGGGGAAAATAGACCTTGACATTTGGGAGTTATAGTTGCTGGGATTTATAGTTCACCTACAATCAAAGCACATTCTGAACTCCACCAACAATAGAATTGGGCCAAACTTCTCACATAGAACCCCCATGCCTTGAAGGAACTCACTGGCATGAGCCTCCTTCCAACCTCGCATGCTCTCCCTCACCTGCACATGCACACCATGCTGCCATGCGCCAAGCACACCTGCTCTCCCCTCCCCACTTGGAGTCTCAGAAACAGCCCTCCCCTTGGCTGAGAGCTCAGCCAATCACAGCAGGAGGACGGCTTTTGGTGGGAGGATTCGCCTCCTGTTTCCAAAAAGGAAGAGAAGGACAAGCGCAGAGATAATCAGCCTTCATGGTGAACAGAGGATTTGGACCCTATTCTCTCTAGTTTTATTCCCCTTCCACTACAGTTATACTATTCATGGTGGTGATTCTAGACAAGTACTAGCCCACGTGTCACTAGTTGCTAATTTATGGAGCATTTCCAGGAAAGACAAAAACATTACATAGTGTTTCTTGTACAAAAGATCTTTGAAGAGCATCTTCATTGTTTTGGCTGCAAAAGAGAATGCAGTTCCTGTTCTAGATTTCACTGCAAATTTGTGTATGCCAAGTGGCGTGCGTTCAGTAAAATCCATTTATGATTAGAATGCCAGTCATTTGCTTGCTCCATTATTAATTTAAGCAGCATATTTGCATGCAGTTACATGCCAGCAAACAGTTACAACAATATGGCTCACATTTTAAAAAGCTGTGATGCAAACTGGCCTGTCCTACAGTTCAGGGTCCTTGCAAAGGGCAACTGTTTTAACATGTATTGTTCTCAGTCTAACAGCTCTTCTACTACTTAAAAATCCGTCATACATACATGCAACAATCAGAGGGGCATGACAATTACAACATATTTCAAATGCAAATCAGCTCTTTGCAACAAGAATTCTATAGGACCCAAAGAGACATCAGATCTCAGCTGAACACTGCCTATAACAAGAGTAATAGGGCCAGAGATGCAATACTAAATAATGCTAATATTAAAAAGTAATACTAAAACCAAATAATTATCAATCATCAATACAGTTAAATATTATAACTGATGGTCAGAACTTTGGAGAAGTTAGCTTTCAGACTGCAACTCACACAATTCACACTGGCAGGTCACTAAGGAATCCCGGACATTGTAGTCCCTAAATGTCTATATACATATTGGCATCCATGAATATTATCCACTATGGTATAGGACTACGGTCAAGAACTTTAAGATCGTCCAGGGAGGCCCTGCTCTTGGTCACGCCTTCGTCACAAGCACGTCTGGTGGCCCCTCAGCTATGAAACACCCTTCTTAAGGAGATTAGATCGGCTCCCTTCCTCTTAACGTTTCAGAGGCAAGTTAAAACATGAGGTTCTTGTGGGTTTTTTCGGGCTATATGGCCATGTTCTAGAGGCATTTTTCCTGATGTTTCGCCTGCATCTATGGCAAGCATCCTCAGAGTGCACCTCTGAGGATGCTTGCCATAGATGCAGGCGACACGTCAGGAGAAATGCCTCTAGAACATGGCCATATAGCCCGAAAAAACCCACAAGAACCTAGTGATTCCAGCCACGAAAGCCTTCGACAATACAAGTTAAAACATGGTTGTTCGAGCAAGCATTTACAAATGCAGAGTAGCCAATATATAGGAAATCGAATGACTTGACGATGGAACTGGACAATGCTTGATAATATTGAGATGCTAATGATGTTTTTTATGGCTCTTGTTGTGTTTTTATACTGTTTTTAATGTTTTATTCTGTATTGTGATTTTGTGTACTGATTTGTTGAAAACCACCTTTAGTTGCCGATTGGCTGAGAAAGGCAGTATACAAATACAGTAAATAAATAAATAATAAATAAATGGTATGTGAGTCGCCAAATCACCTTCCCAGTCTGAGTCAAAGTTCAAACCCAAGTCTCCCCAGTCCAAGCTGAACACTCTAATCAATATGTCATGCTTGCTCTAACAAATAATAAGGTAGCTGGAGGCTGACAGCCAAAGAACAAGCTGATAACTTGGAATCAGTAAGTGGAATTGGGTTCAAGAAACACTAACTGCTTATTTGCTCCTGATTGTTGCTTTAGGGACACAATGGGGGAAAGACAAGAGAATAGGCAGAAGTTCTCTGTTGATGTCTAGGGCAGCTTGTGATTAGAGCACTTTGCTGTGTTCCCCCAGTCAAAAAAGAATCATAGAATCGTCTCAGGAAAGCTGGTTGTCTCCAGGAGAACTGGTTCAAGAAGGACATTGACAAGATGGAATGTGTCCAGAAAAAAGTCAACCAGGGTGAACAAACAACTGGAAACCAGGAGGTCTGAGGAATGACCTCAAGAAGAAGAAGAAGAACTTTATTTTTCTACCCTGCCTCCATCTCCCCAAGGGGACTCGGAGCGGCTTACATGGGGCTAAGTCCGGCAACACACAATTAAAAGCAAAACAATAGCAAGTTACAAATTAAAAAGGCACAAAACAGCATAACAGTAATAAACAAACATCAAGCAACAGCAACCCAAAATTTTGGAGGGGGGAAAGAGGCCAACATATGAAGTGATTTAAAAGGTAAGTAGTTTGATAAGGTGGATAGGAATATAACTGGTACAGGAGATAACATGGAAACAGAGCAATTTGACAGGAACAGGATAATTTCAGTTTAACATACATATATGAATAATGATGTAATATAGGAATTCAGGTTAAATAGTGAAAATAAATCATAGTACAATCATTTGTCATAGGGGTCATCAGTCGAAGGCTCAACGAAACATCCACGTCTTTAGTTCCTTGCGGAATGTGGCTAGGGAGGGCGTCTGCCTAATCTCCCTAGGGAGTTCCAAAGACGGGGGGCCACCACCAAGAATGCCCTCTCCCTCGTCCCCACCAATTGCGCCTGAGACAGAGGCAGGAGCAAGAGAAGGGCATCCCCAGAAGATCTTAAAGACCGTGTGGGCTCGTAGGGGAGGAGGCGGTCGCGCAGATAGGCAGGTCCTGTTCCTAGTTTGAAAGTGTTGTTCCTGTTCCTGTTGTGTGGTACTTACTTAGGAAGTAGTTGTACTACTCAAGAAACAATGTTTGTTTAGTTTTGTTTGGGTTTTTTTTTTGTGGCTGCCATAAACTATGTTGAATTGGTTGAGACTCAATGAGACACTCATTAAAAAACTCTAGCAAAATACGTTGCAGGATGTCCTGCAAAAACAAAGTTTTTGCAGTTCAATTAACTTTTTCCATGTTTTTATGATAGAGCCAATTAGGAAATGAGATTCATAACCTAGGAACAAAAATAATGTTAAGTAGTATTATCTATTCTGCTAAAGAATACAGGTTGTTTTATTGCTGGATAAGATAAAGCAGAAGGAAAGAAAGACAGACACATAATTACAAAGGTTTGTTGTTCATTCGTTCAGTCGCTTCCGACTCTTCGTGACCTCATGGACCATCCCACGCTAGAGCGCCCTGTCAGCCGTCACCTCCCCCAGCTCCTTCAGAGTCAATCCAGTCACTTCAGGGATGCCATCCATCCATCTTGCCCTTGGTCAGCCCCTCTTCCTTTTTCCTTCCATTTTCCCCAGCATCATTGTCTTCTCTAGGCTTTCCTGTCTCCTTATGATGTGGCCAAAGTA